AATAATAACAACGCGGAATTAGGTAAAGAGAAGAATCGCGAAAGTCGTTCAGAACCTTGCAAGTAAAATGGATGCCGCTGAGGGCTTGGAACAGCTTTTCGCAGCGCATTCGGCCGTGCCTGCGTTAGCCGTCTTGCAGCAACTACGAATGGAATTGAGCCAGCAGCAAGCTCGAAGCCTGCTGAATAACCACCGGGCATATCTTCAGCTGGGAACATGTACTTTTGGTCGGCGCGGTCAAGCAGCGTACGCATTGCGCACAGGTACCGAGGTGCAGCGTCTCAGGATGGATTTCAGCCGACAAAGCCTCAAGAGCTGCTGCACAACCACCGGTGTGTCTTCAGTTGGGCACGTGTAGTTTTGGTCGGTTTTGGTTTTGGTTTTATGCATGGCGCACAGAAACCAAGGTGCAGCGTCTCTGTAACATCGCCAACATATCCGGAACGCACACGGTGGCAGGCTTGCCGAGCACGAAATGAAGGGGGGTCGCATCTCACCATTCAACTAAGCATGCATGTGCTCGGTTGAATGCTCGGTAGCATGCGAGTTTACCTATCAGGATGTTTGTTTGCATATATCCCTCCAAGCGAGAGGGCTTGGACCTATGCTGATGTTCGTTACAAGAAGTGAACTGAGGACTGATGCTACACGTCATGTATACGCGTTGCTTAGCTTGCAACGAGACGCGCCCACGATGAAAGCTTCAGCTACACTCACAATACATTATACTGCTACACTATTCTCTCCAGTCCTACCACATTATATTTCACCAACGTACTTCCGCACCTTCCACATCACCATACGTGCTTTGGAAACGCGGGCAGCTGCTTCACAAGGGCCCCCATCTTTGGTACAGGTCGCTTGCAATCACGCCGTACACATCTTCATACATCAGTCCAGAATGACTACATCCTGCTTACATTCGTCATTCATATAGGCAATATTGCGATATGATTACGATCATCGATGGACCTTGAGGAAGAGTGTGCTACATGCATAGCCAGAAACGAAGTTAGCAGAGCTTGGTCTTTTGCATTCACCTCCCCAGTCCAAGAAAATTACAAGCACTGGATTGAAATCCTGCCGACTTCGTAGAAGGATCGACCAAGCAGTGCAGCCGGCGGTCGACCTTGTCCGCCCTTCATCACGGCACAGTAGGAGAGAGGTCACAGCCATTACAGGATCTGATACCACTGAAGAGTCCGAGGAATACTGTGAATTGGAATCAGCACATGAGCGCATGGTAAAGCTGTGACCTTTTGCGCCGCCGAATATCCTGTTGAACTTGCTTGCTTTACTTGTCAAGCATGAATCCCTCTTTCTTTGCTACCCATTCCTTTCGCATTATCGAAGGAGGCTATTCAGAACGTTCCTGAACCTAGTCCAGGTGACCTTCCTGGCCTTCAAGGCATTCCAGTGGAGGTTCGGGATATGGCTGCAAAAATAGGCTTCGAAATCGGCTGTAGGCCGTTCCAGCTGTTCTACACAGCATATGATAAATGGAAGTCGGATTTCAAGCCGGCTTTTAACAGTCCAGGATCAGCCAAGGCTACCATGGACAGCACCCTCTACTAAATGGGATTCAGGGAGAGAGACCTTCTTGACCAGCAGCAGGTCAACAGGGTGAGCCTCAAAACGGTAAGCATAGAAAACTGTTGCTTTACTAGTGAAATTGCAGACTAAACGTGATGTTGTTACAAACCCTAAACATAACCACTCCAGTCACTTGTTGAGGAGGTTGTGTGTATCTGCTGCGTTTTATATGTGAAATTCTCCTTACTGAGAGGTACAACACTGCACTGCTTAATGAATGTACAGTTCAAGGAGAGTGTCAAGCCCAAGTTGGTTCACGTGGTGCCACCAAACTTCATCAATGGGCTTGAGACAGCCTTTGAGGCGGTTGCCAACCCAAACCCCCGGAAGAGGAAGAACAGCTGGGATAGCCACGAAGGAGATGGGGGCGACGGTGAACGTGATGGCACCAAGGATGCATCAGGAAGTGGGACTTCACAGGGTGTGCAGCGTGCCAAGAGGTACATCCTGGAGAAGTTGTACAAGTTCTTCAATCCAGTCCTGAAGGACTTCAATTCAGCATCCAAGATCTACTTGGAAGTGGTAAGTTAGGGGCAGGGTTGAATTATTCATCTTTGAAAGACTGTCACTCAATACTCATGGGTGCTCATGCTTGACTACAGACCGAAAAGGAAATTGAGGACTTCGTGGTTATGCTGGGTGGGCGAGACAGAACTGTGGCTGGCTTCCACTTGGACTCAGAAGCAACCGACCAGGACATACACGCACGTGTCCGGAAGTCCCTGGTTGAGAGATGGAACAACCGCAAGAAGTGGATTGGAAATCTACAGCAGCAGGCCAATGTGGAGGGTGAGTACTAAGAGTACTTTGGAAACAGTATTAAAATTGTTTTTGGTTGGGGGGATTCAATGTCCTGCTACTGTGTATGCTGCAAATTCATTCTAGCCCTTATTTGTAAATGCAGAGATAAGAGGAGAGACTTAGTTATAGTTTGGGGTCATTGGGTTTTCAACTTGCTTGTATTGAAACCTCAAATATGCATACTATTAAACATACCTGCCTGCATACATCATACATGCAGCTGAAGACCTTACTAACCATGACATATGTGCATGTCTTGCCAGCAGATGCTTTGAGATTCAACTCCTTTGGAGCTGACGAAGAGGAGTTTGAGAAGTACCAGTCTTCACAGTCGCACCTGGAATACTTGCAGAAGAGCTTAGGGCCTCTAAACAATGAAGATGACAAGTTCGTCTTCATTGTTGAGGGCAAGGACAGTCCTGTGCTCTTAGCTGGCGGTGTGGTCTTTGGCAGTCTTGTAAGTTAATTAGGCTTCATGTTTCTTCGCAAGAATGACCATGTTGTCATCTGCAGCCGCCTCACAACATACAATTAATGTAAGCATGTGTGGCATACATTGCAGCTGCAATACAGTGCAACCATGAACTGCTTGAAATTAATGTCTTTGCCTGCTGGATTATAGATTTTATGCTACTGCTAATAATATAATAATTATGTTTCTTTTCATACATGTCGACAATGTTGAATAAGCACTGGTCGGTCCCTCCATATTCACCATGCAGGAAAACGTCGTGCACGACATGGACAAGGTGTCCGTTTTCATTCTGCACAGGGTGAACAACAGCAAGAAGACCTCCATGGTATTGCCCAGTGGTACCATTAAGGTTGGCAAGGAGCTAAAGAAGCACACGGTTGTAGAGCTTCCAGTGCAGAGCCTACTTGGCAGATTCAACAAGCAGCAGGTCAAGGAGTGGGCTTTCTCCCATGGCTGCACAAATGTTCTATGGAATGACTCCATGGTCCAGTACAAGGGCAAGCTGGCGTTGGTTGCTTAGAGAGGTTCCTTGATGAGCAGGGATACAGAGCAAGTGGGCAGCTGCAGTCTAGGGCTATGTGGTTCAGTGGTGTGTAGTAGGTGTTCACTAGAAAAAAAGGAAGCAGTGCAGTAGTAGTGTGGCACTCTGGGAAAGGTTTTCACCCGTAAATTCATGTTTACCCGTAATCACGTGGTCTTCACATGTAATTACCGGCCAAGAAAATTTGTACACATGCTTATTTTTAAGTTGCCAAAGCATTCCTTTTATAAGGAATAACATAGGTGACAATTTGTTGGTTGCCTGTGCTGGAAGTCATCCACAGGTTACATTACCCGTAATCACAAGGTCTTGACCCGTAATCCCCCAAGCCGTAATGCACAGCACCCGTAAAATTTCACGGGCTTAATTGCGACGAAGACGTTTTATGCGTGTGTGTGTGTTACATGGTTGGGGGTGCGTGACCCCATACCTGTAAGACTACCCATACGAGCCGAGGCCCAAGGGTAATACTACAACACCTAAAAGCCACGGAGGAAAGGAAAACACCGCACATCAGCCCAGACTAGCGTCTAAAAGGGGTAATTGAGTTTTGGTGAGCCCGCATATGTTCCAATATCCTCGCTGCATGTGCGGGTTCCCATTGCATGGCCTCCAACATGCTCTGTTGATGACCGAATCCCTCTTCAGCACGAATATCATTACAGGCTGGGCATTCTATTAACAGGCGTTCACATCCTCAATTCGGCTATTAGTACCACAACAGTGGCAAAACCGCTGCCCCCTGGGGACGTGGTACTTGCCCCTTCATGCTCTGTTTGCCTCGAAAGCCAACAACATANACGAAACTGCATTACCTTACGATGTGCTAAACGAGGAATGAAAACCTTAGCATGT